ATAGTTTAATGATTTTTTCAAGTTTAAACTAACTTGCATTACATTATTCTTCGAAATGAAATGATTAAAACGAGTAGTAGTGGCTATTATAAAATAAGCAGCTCTATAATCTCGTTGAATGAAAGTTTGAAATGCAAATAAAGAACACCATACCGCATTTTTGTTCGCTGAAGCGCGATTTCAGTTGTATTCCCGTGCCGGGAAGCGCATCGGCACACAGACATGCATTCAGAATGAGTGGGAAGGAGATAAGGGAAGGAAAGAGCATGGATGCAATTACATTATGCTCGTTAGGTTATGCTAATGCCCTAATAACGAATAATAATAAGAAAAGAAGTAACGAACGTCCCCGTATACAAGCCCGTGTCCGTATATTTCAGACAGCCAACGGAGCGAGGAAAGAAAGCAGCACGCGGAGGATGCCCGACTTGAGTCGAACCTATACCACAAGGAGAGAGACCGGAAGAGGAAGTTAACCGCGCTTCCGGTCAAGGTGAGCCCGATGCCCTTAGAGCCGCTATCTTTTTCTTCATTTTCAGTTTTTCCATTATTAATAGAATAATTTTTAATCTTTTTTCTAATTCTTATTTTTATTTTCCTGTAATCTTTTATTAGGGAGATGTAAAGAAGCCTTGTCTATCTGACGCAAACGGTGACAAGATTGTTGATGTTGCCCAAGTTAATTCCAATGAGAATAATCAAGTCAGTGGTGGATATTTGTCATATCAGATTAACAATCATCAACAATTCCTTGATAACGCAGACGAGTACAGCGTGCCAACCAGTCCTGTCAAGTCAGAAGTACGTATGAAAATAATAGAACTGAAACAGTATTAAAGGACAAAAGAAATAATAAATCCCAAATTTTTTTTATGTTCAGGACGAAACAAGCAATGATGGCTTGGTTGTTGACGTGGATGGTCCAGTCGGAGCTTCCTCTGGCGACACTCGACAGTCACGAGTAGGTCAGTTTGGAGATCCTGGCAAGATCAGCCGACTCGATCATCACATGTCCTTCAGTAGCGGAACTGGTGTTCGGATGAGGCCCACGATTCGTGGTACTAGCAAACGGGGCAGGCCTCGCGGTTCCCGTAGAGGTGGACCTGTTGGTGGGAAGGGTAGAGGTCTTCTTCTGCTCCATTCATCATCTAAGGGTCTCGGAAGCGGTTCTCAATCCCCAGCATCTTTATCTCCAACCAGTAGTAGTACAGCTAATGATCAAATTCTTCAACACGGTGAGTACTGTGCTTTCTTAGATTTACTGCTTAAAAAAAACCTATTATTGTTGATGATGAATATAGTATTCCGATATAGATTGAAACCTATTAAAAATTTAGAGTGCAGTAATAAATTATTGCATATTATGCCAAGGATATTTTACAAGGACGTAAAAAGAATGTAGATTAAATCATTTCCAGCAACACAATTCAATGGATAGATTTATTACCGATATGTGGAACCGTGTAATGTCCACTGATGAATATTTAATTATTCACTTTGCATGTAACTCAATAAGTCTAGCATGCTGAGGTCATTAATATAAATTGCTTTAATTCTGTTATTCACGATCAATGAAGATAATTAGCGACATTAACATAGTGTCTTTCATGTATCTTTCTCATATAGTGTTTTTATTTTGACTACACGCTTCGAAATAGAATTTTGTACATTTATTTAGATGTGCAGTCACCTTCAAAATTCTCACTCGAAACTTAAGCTTAAATCGCTGAGAAACGCATGCTGACTCCGTTCGGATATTGGGTGATACGGTTAAGAGGATTAAGTGAGTAGTTTTGGGAGACCATACTCGAAATACCCCCGTCTGAACGAAAATGACTTTCCGTGACGCACCCTCGAATCGATACATCGTTAATCCCGACTGACTCTTTCATGGATCTAGAGTTCCCCTTACTCCTATTGCACCACTTGGTCCAGTTCTCATGGGATTTCGCTCTTAGTCGCAAAAAGAAAACACCCCTATGTTCGCGGATCCCTTGACTGACGTGAATCCATCGAAATTCCCTCGCGGTTACATGTGCGCGCAAGTGTTGCAACGAACAGTTGGCGCCCTTCCTGAGGGTACGCGATTTACCCTTCGAGATATCCACCCCCTCTGTGACTCACTTTTTCGGTCCCAGTTTTCATGCGCACGAGTGTTACTCCGCGTCTTCTGGGACGGGGGTGTCTTGGTTTATCTGTCAGTTGGACAGTGGTCACGTCCTGGTTTGGAAGTATCAGACGTATAGATTGAATTGATTAGGAAAATGAACTTAATGGGTTTGGCCTTCTATCCTGTTTTTATCTTCTCTCTTTTTGACACAATATAACATATATATATTCCTATGTGTGATGATTGTCGTTGAGTACTTGTACTTGAAAAAGTGGAACAATACGTCTATAGAACAACAAAATGCAACACGAATAGAGCCAGTATATCGCGATTGATAACACGATTGTTTCATGTTTCATTATAGCTGGTTTACTGTTTTCCATCCATTTGTATTAACAATAAAGCAACGATATATATTTCTTACGAATTATATCATAATTATTCCTACAAACAATTTATCACTAAATTATTCGTTTGATAAGCAATTCTCGTGCAAATTATATTCTAAGCGTTGCCTCAAGTATCGACCATTTTGGAGAACAATTCTGGGAAAGAGAAAGAAGGAGCGAAGAAGAGTGAAAGATAGAGGAGAAAAAGAGGATCGAAAAGGCCTGACGAAAGCGAGCCGCACGAAAACGAGTAGGTGGCCCTCACGCAACGACACGTGGACCGAAGTTTACGCGGCAACGTGCACGGCACCTTCATGCACGCGCGCACGCTCATACGCTGTTCGTGCTACATATACGGAAAGGAAAGGGGTCGTTCCCTCTCTCACTTGTCGTCGACTGGAAGGCGAGCGGACAATAGCAGGTGCAGAGCGAACGCGACAGCTGCGATCGATGATGTTCTTCTTAGGTTTTTGGAACTCGCTCACCCCTCTCCGTCCTCCCTTTCTACCTTCCCCTTTCGACTATCACTTCGTTACTCTGCCCCTTTCATTTTGCCCCGTTTGTTTTTTTTCTCTAGTCATTTCGCCAATCCTTTCTCCGCGATTTGCGTGAATTTGTTCCTCTTTGGAGATTATTTTTAGCAACTCCGACCTTTTATTTTACAGATATTGCTTCATTGCATTCTCAACATTTGGCTTATTTTAAGTGATTTGTCTCCATCTTGAAGAAGATTTATCTTCTGCTCATTTCCATCCACAAGTGGTGGTTTCTATTTGAGATGCATTTTGTGAATAAGAGCAAGGCATATGGTCAATGCATCCGTGAAAGCCAGCAATATGACGCGCTCTTTCATCTATGAGATGTTCTCTTCTCTCATCTGCATATCTAAAATTCTACCCACATGATGTCGCTCTTGAAAACATATCTTGTGCTTATAAATGCAATAAAATTAAACTTTCTCCATTGAATCATACTCGATCCTCCCTTTCCGGTTGATCAAATTTCGTTATTTAAATCGCAAATGTCCAAGTATCGACGTGTTCGTTGTTTAGCTGTCGTTTGCATAATTTTTCGTAACGGATAGCTAACCCTGGCCATGGTTCCATTGGGAATAGGATCTGAGGGTTGAATTTTGTGGATTCGTGCCGTACCTCATTGTACCGCACCGTGTCATCTTGGTCGTCCGCATTGCTTTCATCATATTTCCGTGTCATGTAACGGAAAGTAATTCCAACCAGTTCGAGTGGTTGAGAGAGCTTCTATAGCTACGAGCTTCCTACTTCCGCGACGACACAGTCAGCTGGAACTACATATTGCTTTTCTCAAAATCTTACTCAAATCTTACTATAAAACTTGTTAAATTTACATATAAATATAAAATCATTCATACCAATAACAGAATATCTTCGTTATGATCCATTTCTTTCTCTTTCATCTTTCTTCCAAATATCTAGAATTAAAGGGTTGCATGATTATTCGCAATTATTTATCGCTTGTAAATATCTTAACAGCCGAGCCTCTCCGTTGAATCACTGGAGATTCTACCTAAAACTTTCACAGCAATCGAGACATCTTCCTCCACTGAGGGATCTATCCATCGGTATTACGATAACGAGAATCTGGCGATTCATTATCCTCATTGGCCAAGAAGGACGGTCGTTTAGCCGGAGGGTACCAGCAAAACTATTTCATTGTCTCCGCTTTAGAATGCAATAATTTTCTCCAGTTCCAGGGTGCTCGAGACGGGAGAGCGCCTTGAGACACTGCGAAAGAGGCCGCATCGTGACAAAGGACGAAAAGGGGGAGGGAATGAGAGTTTGGCTGTGTGTTGCACGGCTGAGATACGGCAGGATAATACGGGAAGATAGGACGGGGCAAGGATCGGCATTCCGCGGATCCTCGCGTTCCATTCGCCCTTCCAGCTACCTCGAAACTTCTCGAGAACCCTCTTCTTTGTACGCGTACACCAGACTCTATCTCCCGCCTGGGATCTCACCCACGCGTGCTTTCCGCGGGAATCGCGGACCCTCGATATACGAAAATATTTTAACCGACCCCTTGGTGTTTGTTCCTCCCTTCTGGCTTTGCTTTAGGTTGGATATTAATTCGATCAGGCACCAGGTTTTCGTTAATATCGTTTCCTCAGGGTTTTCCGTTAAGCGATTATTTTTGTAGGTTCAGCCATAAGAAATGTCCACGTTGGTTCCATGCCTTACTGTTTAATAGCTTGGATAATTAGAGGTATAACCGATGGATCTGAAAATAAATGGAAAGGGTTAGTCTAGTTCATTTTTATAGGAAGAGTTCAACATCCTTTCCACCCTGCATACTCTACAAACGGTTCAACACTCTGCAAACTTCTCTCATGTCAGCAGTTCCAAGTAGACCTCCAGGACACCCTTTGTTACTCGAAGGAACTTCACGCGTTCAAGAATCTCCATCGAAATGCTCCTTGGAAATCTCGTTAGAATCGAGCGCACGGAAAACTTGGAAAGCGCGCGTATATAATGAGGAAACGGGTCCCTCGAGCTTTTCCCACCCTCTTAGTCCCTTTGTTGCTGAGTGGCCACTCCAACTTCCTCTCTTTGCCGAGGTGGCTGAAGAGCACCTCCTGAAAGGATCGAGAACGTGCCAAGGAATGTCGACGACTCGACGAACGAAGCGTGTGTGCAATGGAAAAAAGGGAAAAAGAATAGGCGAAAGGAAGGAAGGAAGGAAGGAAGGAAGGAAGGAAGGAAGGAAAGAGGAAAGAAAGAATGGAAAGAAGGCCGAGTTAAAAGGAGACGGGGAACGTCCTCCCGTACATCCTTGCTCGGCTACTGACCTCCGACCCTGTCACTCACCCTCCTCCACCGCCGACCAGAATTTTTCTCTCTCGCTATCTCATTAAATTCTTCTCCCCCTCTCGCCCCCATGCTCGTCCCCGTGGTCGGCTCCTGCGCTTACGATCAGTCGAATAGATGCCGTGGCACGATCCTCGAGTTTGTCTTCGTACCATGCCGCGGTGTACCGGTGAATAACCGATTAACTGGTCAGACCACTCCACGTTAAATGGAGGGCCTCGTTCGTACCCTGCATCTGCCATTATAATCGTGAAAAGTTGCAGGAGCCCCGTGGTCGCGTCCTCTTTCCCGCGAAATTCGTACCTCTGGGGCATGCCGCTCGTTATCTTCAGACCTATCGTCTCCTTTGCGCGTCGAGCATACCGATTTTCACCGGTGATTTTCGCGCGCGCTGACTTCGAATCGATTTTGTACGGCGCATTGAGAAGTTCTTAACGTGCGATAACCTTTGATCGCTTTGATGTGTGGTCTGCAGATCGCAATTCTGGATATAAAGGGGTCACGCTCCTAAAAATTTTCAGCCTTAAAATCTTTCCAATTTCCAATCTGCATTCTCTGATACCTATAAAACAGGAATTTTAGATATGACACGTGATTAAAGTCCATTTGGCTAAACATAGATATAACAGAATATACATAATAGGTATAAAAATTGAACGATCGTCGTTTACAGGAGTGCAAGGAACCTCTGGTCCAACGGAAGGTGACGGCCCCAGTTCAGTAGGTCCCCTGGGACCAGTAGGAACACTAGGTCCCCTGCCAGGTAGAGGGGGTGCACCAACCATCCGAAGAGGTCCAGGACGACCACGTTTAAGGCCAACAGGTCCTGGGCACCAAGGATATCGTACCCCTGGCCATCACCATGGTAGAAAGATGCAACGGCCACTTCCGGTTCCCCTGAGGTCCCAACAAACGATCGCCACTGTAAATCAACAGAAATCATCGGCACAACGAGCTTCAGGACCCGGTCCATCGATTTCTTCTTCTCCGATGAACAGTAGTACCTCGTTTTCTTCGCCGACAAGCGAATCTAGACCATTTGGATTCTACACGCAACAGCAGCAACAACCACGGGGATCGTCCTAGCTTCCGGAGGGAGAGTTCCTTCGGGTAATTCTCGAGGGTGATTCATGAATTGTCCAAACTCGGAAATTCTCGCGAAATGTTAGCGACCGGATCGCGTTCTCTGAAATTTTGCAAAGCGAGACTTCTGTGTACTAATTTCCTTATTTGACATTTTGAAAACGTGATTGACGCAAGGAAGTATCCTGGATCTATGATGAATGACGAATTTTTCTTTTGAATGGAGAATGTCAAGAGAATGTTCGATTTGTTTGTACAAGCTATTTTTTAAGAAAGCCATGTTTCTTTAGTACTCGATGATGCTTGGAACTATGGTAATATACTGGTTTCAGTGATCAGTATTACTTTCGATGATAAATACTGGTTTCATTCATGCTTTACGGCTTGTATGATTTTTAGAAGAAGTTGGAGTACTGTGTTCAGTGATAAAAAACTAGCAACGAGTATTTCATTCTCTCGTTGCTTCCTGTTTTTTCCTTTTATTTTTTTTTTTTTTTT